TTGCATTGACAATGCATTGAACCAACCATCTCTACGCAAGCTGCAGCAAATCCTGAAAGACACCACACATCCCTGTAGACTGTTCCTGCCCCCAGTGGTTCAGACACCCTACAACCTACGCCGCCGTACGGGACTGAAACCACCACTCAGCAGATCAAATAACACAAAAACTATTTCATACCTAGAACTCTTTCGTCAATGTAAAGCCTGCGAAATCTTCGTGCTTGTGTTGTATAATGTTGTTTAATATTGAGAGATTTTAACAATATCGGAAATTCGCTGTCTTTTTAACCTAATGGTATTTTAAATGTAATGTTTTTTTTTTAATAAAATGTAAAATCAACCCAATTTAGTCTTGTTAAAGACTACAAAGTTGATTGCTTAGTAAAGTTTACAAAGTTAACAAACCAAGCAAAAGACTTAATGCTCTCATGTTAGAACTTTGACATTCCTTGGCAGAATATTTCAGGTCAGAAGACATTACCATGAATATCTCAACCCCCCAACATCTATTCCCCCCTGCAAAAACAGACTAATAAAATCACAAAAATGGACTATTCCAAACTCATCATGTTCAAAACACTGAGGTATAATAATCTAAAAATGATTAAATATGCACATGTATTACATTGTATATGATATTGAGAACACTTAAATTAACACTCTATATCTTGACATTTACTTTTTTATAACTTCATAAGCAATTCTTAATGGCACAGAATTAAAACCATTATTTGATTCTGTGTTTTGGTTAACTATATTGACAAGAAGTAAAATGTGATGTGCACACTGTGTTCTTGCCTGCTTAAGAATGACTCAGCTGACAGACAAGACTAGACACGTTCTATCTCGCCTATAATGTACAACACATTAGTGTGCTGTACTATTATTTGTTGATTGATGTGGACTAGACACAAACCAGCCAAAATGAGTGCCTTCACCAGATCACAGGCCAAAAAAACCTTAGGAACCGTAGATTACCTGGAGAAGGCAGAACTCCCAAATGCAGACTATGTTATATCTGTTAAGACCAAAGATAGCTGGCCGAGCCCAGAGGTCAAGGGAAGATGCTGCTCAACTTTTGGCAGAGTTACTTCAGGAGCACTGGCTTTTCTGCAATGTGTACACCATAGCGACGAAGAACATTAGGGCGCGGATCCGCAAATTTTATGAAGAATTTGTAACCCTGGTTTAGACAAGAAAGCAAAGGAGAAACGAGCAGTTTGTTAAGAAAGCAGAAGCCTTCAACAAAAAGGCAGAGGAGTTCTTCCTGCAGTACTCAAGAGGCTGGAAAAGAAGCATTGTGTAACAATGACAGACATGTAGCGGCAGTTCCTAGACGATCAAAGAACTGAAAGGAAAATGTACTGCGAAGACTTTGTTGACCGGAAATGGATTAAAACAATGGAACACAGAAAAAGAGACATGCAGGCCCTTGACAAAATGAGGGAGGATGCATCAAGAGAACAGGAGCAGAGCAAGTTAGTTGCGTTATCCCAGGATAGTGAAGAGTCAGAGGCAGGAAGCAAGAAATGGAGACAGACGTTGACGCTTGTTTCTCCTCTTGTGATGAAAGTATTGGAGTCTGTGATGAAGATACCTGCAAGGAAGAACTTCCCCTAAAATATCAGCACATCAGAGAGAGCATTAGAAAGGTAAGATCAGAGTTCTTCGAGACTGTTGACAAGCTACAGAGCTGCTATCACATGTAGAAAGCTCAGGCTTCAGCAGCTGTCATTGTTGTTGGCAATGAAATGTTTGGTCGGAAATTGAAGGCACATGATGAGTCAGACCGTGTCGATCTCGATACACTACCAGCATCCAGTAGTGTTCGATATGCTGGCAAGAGCTTTGCGGTGTTGGCTTTAGATGAGATTGTGAAAGAGATAATGGACTCTGACAAACAGGTAGTTGTAACATATTCCCATGATGGCTCTAAGAAGCAAGGGGCTGGTTCATTTTCCGTCCAAGGGATTACTGTGAAAGGTAAATACAGGTCACTACCTACGCTAAGCATTGCATTTGAGTCCAGACAGAACCTAGCAGACCTAAAAGTAACAATGCTACAGATTATGGAAGCAGTAAGCGGTGTTGCTGCAAAACCCTCTTTGAGAAGATGGACTTTGTCCTAACAGATCAGACATTTCCCAATTTTAATGTGGATGAACTGGCAGCAGAGAGTCTGGAGTCTAAACACACCCCTGATGATCTGTTCTGCAATGTACACCCGACCCTGATGTTCAATCGTGTCATCACCAAACTGTGGGCTGAAATAGAGAACACCTTGGGTAGAGACAAGATCTATTCCATCTTCTTGGTCAATGCCACAACATCAGCAACAAGTGTCACTGAACAAGCCCCTGACTGCATGACTCGGCTGATAAACCATGTCTTTGACCACAAGCCTTGGGAAAAATCTCGTGACTTTGATATCCACATAGCCCCACGACCGAACAAATCTGTCAGTCTGAAGGATGAGCGTTTCAATCGTTTGACACTTACGTATGCTGTAAGTCTGTATCATCTCAATGATGTTGCATCTTTCCTCCGCAAGTATGAACACGTGACCAACTAGTTGGCTTGCATTGTGTGATGCTTTTTGGACTTGGTGTTCTTAAAAGTCATGTACTGTGTCGGTGCTTTCATCGGTCTCCATCTGGTTGAGCCGTTCCTGTCGCTGACCACGTCTGCTGAATCAACCTACAGCAAGATCATCCCAGCCTTCCAGCAGCTGTACCAGGAACTTATAGAAGTAGACCCGACCACTCTGTTACTGGCACAGGAACCAGCATTCAAGTTTATTTCCAAGGAAAGGTATCCGCAGTGCTGTTGTCCAAGTAGCAACCACGTACCAGTCTGAGGTGACAAAGCTACTGAGAATGCTCCTCCCCAAAGAAGCTAGTGGCTTTCAGAAGACATATTCGGCTTTGGAGAACATGATGTGACTGCACAGCACTCTGTCACACTTGAATGCTGAGCGTAGTGCTGGCTTTGTAAACTACGAACTCTCAAGAAGAGGTGCAAAATAACTGAAAGTTGCATCAGCTGCCCAAGTTAAGGCCAAGTCGTCTGATCTGATTGCTAGACGAGAGGCTGGGGCGTTCAGAAACTACAGTAAGAAAGTCAGGAAAGGGTAGCGGATACCAGAGATTGTGTTGGCGTGGAATATAAAGCAGGAGGAGCCTAAGAAGCAAGGACTCCATGACAAAGAAATCGCAAATGTCACTGTTGATCGGTGGAGAAATAGAGACTTGCAATCCCTGAAGAAAATGGGCGGACCTTTCACATTTGCAGCTGATGTAGATTCGTATGTGGCAGCAAGTGATGTGGATGATGCCACAAAGTTGGGGAGACTTACCTGGAAGTACGCTACGCCAGGGACACTGCCCTTTCATTGAAAAAAAAACAAGTGATCTTTTCCGCCTCGTGAAGGATTACGAGAAGCTCCCACTGAACACGTATGCAGTTAACCTAAAACTGTACCTGAACAACATCACGTCCAGACGTAACACTCCAAGACTTCAACAAAGCAATGGATACAATTTGTAATCAGAAATATGCCAATGTTTGAAGCAACGTAGGGGCGGAGTTTCAAATGCGCTGCTGGGAGACATATTATGTTTCTTTAAATATGTACAAGTGTTCTTTGAACACTGCAGTGCATTGATGCTATGGCAGTAGCATTGATACTATGTTTTCGTTTTGTTTGTTATATCTAAGTTTGTCTGAAATAAATTCCTTAACCATGCCAATTTCCATGCTTTTGACTTGGCCAAGTCTGAGAAACTGACTCAAAATCTGCTTCATGTTACCATGGCAACACAGAACATTGAGCTGAAACTTAAAATAAAGGTACCTTGAAGTGTTATGGACCTTATTATTACATAAATTGTTCAAAAAGAGCAAAGGAATGCTGCTAGTGCTTAATCCTACACACATACAACAGCCTGGTCACAGTGATATATGGGGCTGGTATCCAAACTTCAGAGGGTATGTACAGGGGGGTTAATCACATTTATGACGTCATCATGACGTCACATAACGTCATAACGACAAAAAATTGTAGATATGATAGATTTTCACTAGTACATTATCTTCTAAAAATTTGGTGGTCATACGACATACCGTTCTCGAGTTCTGATGGGGGGTCAAATGAGCCCCCCCCCCCGTCCCACCAAGTTAAAAAAAGCCCGGTCTAGATAGGGTTAAAATATCATTCCACAATTGTGACGCACTGAATGTAGTGTTTTGACTAAACCGTCTATATGGTTTTCAAAAAAAAACTCTTAAGGTATAGAACAGAATAATGACAATACATATAAAAGCTATACGTTTCTTGGATCTGTATCTTGAATTGTTACATTTTTAGATACGGCCTTAGATACGGCCTACAACTGTAATAAAAAAATATGTTTGACGACCACATACCGTCGTCAAATGATGTTAACTCTTCCAGTGGACAAATTAAACGTTTTTACTCATTGCTTTAAAAAAAGAGCTTTATTTGTATTAATTTTCCCAGTTAAATGTATTCTACACCCAATTAAAGCCTTATCTTAACAAAAATGCTACTCTAGCACTTCCTCATAAATTATGCAATTGAGGTCAATGTTTAATAATTGGTGTTTATTAATGTTCACCTTCCAACCTAATTTTAAATTGCGAAAGTACGAACTCCTAGTAATTACTTGTATGAAAGAAATTTCTAATTAATTATGCACATTAGGTCTTCATTAACAATTCTATATTAATCTTTAGATGTTCCTCTTGTTCTCAACTACATATTTTACAAGTGTCATTGTCCTATTATCAAACGAAGTAGATTTATAGATGTTCTTTTTTCATTAAGCAAATTAGCTCCAGATGTGCATAATCTTATGCAAAACATCACTTTAATTATCTACATAACCAAAAATCAAGATAATCCGTCAATGGTTGTTGATTATCAGTAGTCAGGTCTCACCTTGAGACGAGGCATAAACCCTTTATTTCGAACCTACCTCCGTGTCCATGTATAGTGCTTCTTGCCGCGATCGTCATCGTAAAGTCAACATCATCTTGCTTCCAGTATATGAAAAAAACTAGCACCACCACACAGATAGCAGCAATTAGACGCAAGGCAGCCGGGCCTCTGATGACCTAAAGAAGCATTTCTTTTATAAAATACAGATAATAAAGATATTCTCGCAATAAGTGTAAGGTCACGAAATTCTCATGTACTCCTACGTGTAAACAGCTGTCATTCTATGGATTTGTCATGTCTGCATCATAATATATGCAGAAACATCTTCCTCAGTTCCAATAAAATTTAGGTTATGTTGCTTTCAGTTATATTTACCGTGAAAGGGACGCTGTTTTAGGCGTTTTTTAATGTGTTAAGATTTTATAGTTAAAAAAAACAACCTCAGTCAATTTCTGTGATTGTCAGTAAAAGTCCAATATAATTCATTTATATTACTTGTTTTATCGATTATAGTCTGTTAAAGGTGACTGATGCTCACCGAAACTTTGGCTCGTGTAAAACGAATGGCTGTGAATAAAAAAAAAAAATTAAAATGCTCAGACATTTACAACTTGACAAAATGTAGACATATCAAATCGTTTTTGTTGTTATCAGGTTCCAAAGGACTACCGAGGCGGCCATATAGTTAATAAATGGTTATCTGTCACTAAACTATGAATGTGGTTCATTTTTTCTATAATAGGGTCATTACATTAGTCATGTGGTCGACATGGATTTATTTTACTTTAACAAAAAAGGTCATATCTGTGTAATAATCAGGAATACCAAACTGGCTTTTACACAGCTTTTTAATTGAATTAATTTTAAAACGCCCCTTTGTCGATTTGGGAATTTGAAAGATTTTTCTCTAAACGCCTGCTGAACCTTTCTTCAAAATTTAAACTTTGTGGGATGATTTAGAAATTTAGACACTAAAATATATAACAAGGTATCCAAAATATACCGAATATAGCCCCTCGTGGTGATGTTACAAAATGGTAGATATTGTCTACGTTTGGTGAAGCCAGCACCTTTTTATGGTGCACACCTGTTATTTAAAGTCAGATCAATTACTATTGGTCCATAACATTTCCCATTTTGTTTTACTTTTTAGCAATTTTGTTACGTTTTCTTACATTTATCTGATTAGCAGCGTCAGACTCTTATTTGTTAATGAAAAAGAAGCCAGCATTCTCCTGCACCGTCATAAACTATGCCACCTACATTTGTACAGGTATTAAGTTTACTTTATACATTGGGATAATAAGAAAAAATAAGAGAATCAGAGACTGTTTTAGATTGCAGTTTAAAGAGATTTCTTCAAAGCCTTTTACATCCCTGTAGTGCAATACTAAGAACTTATGGCTGTACTCACCCTGGCTACGGACATTATTAGAACAGCTGGAGAGATAGATCTGAAGTAAATGAAGTATTTATCTCAAAAACGCTTAAAACATTTGGCATTTGTAGAAAGGTTTACAGTAACTGCGCATGTCCAATACAGGTAAAACCGGTTTTAAGTACCGATTGTGTAATCATTAACCCACCAACAGGCAATTTTTTTTCGACTGAATTGGCCAAACGCGGCCCAAATTGATAACATAAAACGTGTTAGAATGCAAAAAAAATGTAAAATGACAAGTTAAAAGCCTTGCAAGAACAATGGTATACTTATTTTACCAATCTCAGCAAGAAAGATTTTTTTGCACGCTATAGCACAGTTTCCACATCAACTTCCATATGCCTCGACAGTGCACAAAGTACAAAGTCAGTACTTGACATTAGAACTACAGTGTTCAGCCCTGGGTAGACCTATGTTGCCCTCAGCAGAGTTACCTCACTTGATGGCTTAGCATTACTGGAATTTAAACCTAGCAAGATTTAAGTGTTTTAAATTGTGGTAAGAGAAATTGGAAGACTAACTCAAAATATTACACGAGGCCTCTACAGTCAGAAGTCACATAATGGATCACGATCTACATGTACCTGACCCTACATAATGGAAAATGCTTAAATGGATGAATGACACACTGTACGGTACAAGTCACAGTTATATAATGATAGAATATGACATACAATACAATAAAATATATATGAAATACTTACTATGCAATGAAGAACAACATATATATAACGAACTTGCTAAATGTTACAATGCATCCCCTACATATACAAAAATGATCATGTATTTGCACATCTCAACAATGGGAACAGCTGACATCACCTGAATTCCAACTGTGTTTGCAGCACCTGTGCAGCTGACATTACCACTCGAAATCCAACCATGCATGCAGTACCTGCACCTGAACTCCATAAAAGCATACATTACCTGCGCAGCTGACATCGGCACCTGAACTCCAACCATACATGCAATACCTGCACCTGAACTCCATAACAGCATACATTACCTATGCAGCCGACATCGGCACCTGAAATACAACCATGCATTCATTACCTACGCAGCCAACATCGGCACCTGAAAATCCACCCATGCATGCATTACCTATGCAGCCGACATCGGCTCCTGAAAATCCACCCATGCATGCATTACCTATGCAGCTGACATCGGCACCTGAAATCCACCCATGCATTCATTACCAACGCAGCTGACATCGACACCTGAAATACAACCATGCATTCAATACCTACGCAGCCGACATCGGCACCTGAAATCCACCCATGCATACATTACCTGTGCACCTGACATCAGCACCTGAACTCCACCTATGCATGCATTACCTGTGTAGCTAACATCAGCACCTGGAAGCCAATAGCCATTCCTCCAACTTAAATATACACTTTATAATCGGGTTCATATTGGAGACACATTTGTATGGAATGCAGTTTTAGATTACTTTTCACTAGAAATTAGCAGTAATAAGTTGCAACTTGCAAAGTACACTGCTATTGTCTATTCTTAAACAGTTACAATTAGATACATTAATGACTATTTCATATTGGAATGAATCACTGCAGGTAACCATTGCAAATAGAATATATTACCTGCCAGTGTAAATGACAGGTCAGAAACAAAGGCACACATTGTCCAAGAAGGTACTTTTTCTACCTTCGCCAAGAAGGTTATGTTTTCAGGGGCGTTCGTGTATGTGTGTGTGTGTGTGTGTCCGTCTGTAAACACGATAACTCGAGCAATAAGGGCTGCACGAGCAACCTCCATGGAGGTTGCTCGTACAGCCCTCCGCGATACCCCCGCAGAGCTCTGCGCGAAAACAAGTCAATTCGTTGGTTGGCGTCACGGTTCAGTGTTGCTTTCACCTCTTTGCGCTCTGCGTTCAAGACAAGTCAATTCGTTATGGCTGGCGACACAGGTTCAGTTTTGTATAGAGCTCTGGGGATTTTAAGCCAGCTCAATGTGACTACTAAGCTTTGTAAAGTGGCTTTGTAACGTACCAGGGGCCAGCAGAGCTAGCAGTCCTGCTCGGACAGATCGGGCTCCCTCGGTTTCAATCTTGCAGTCAATAGCTCTGCGCTAAAACAAGTCAATTCATTGGTTGGTGTCACGGGTTATTTTTGGTTAGACCCTTGTGGATAAAGCTATAAGTACAAAACACGTCGATGCTGATGGTTGGCGTCACGGGTTCAGTTTTGTAAAGAGCTCTGTAGATATCAAGTTAATTCAATGTGACTATTAGGCTGAATAGCCCTTACTCTATCACAAATAAAGATTTCGTCACGCAACTATGCACAGGACCACTCGCTCAACTCTCCAAAACAATTCAATTCCTTGGTTGGCGTCACAGTTCAGTTTTGCTTTCACCTCTTTGCGCTTTGCGCTCAAAACAAGTCAATTCGTCATGGCTGGCGACACAGGTTCAGTTTTGTAAAGAGCTTTGGGGATTTTAAGCCGAGCAGGACTGCCATCTCTGCGGGCCCCTGGTACGTTACAAATCCTAGTAGTCACATTGAACTGGCTTAATTTCTTCCCTATTTCAAGAGCTATCTGCAATCTAAAATTCGGGACCCTAGCATATCGAGATCACGAGATATCAAAACCGGAAGTTCTGCTCCAGTACCTTGAAAAACCGCCAGGGGGCCCCAAAATCTAATTTCTATGTCTTATGAAGACCTACCCACATACCAAGTTTCAATCCAATCCATCCACTGCTTCTCGAGTTATCTTGCTAAACCACACACACACACACAGACAAACGCTTCTTGGCGAAGGTAATAAAGCAACAAACATTCTCTGCCAGTCCAACGACCTCCATGGCCGCGACGGGTGGCTCGGTTGGTAGAAGTGGGCTGAGACGGGAGTGCCTTTGTATTCTATCCCTTCTTCTGTTAGGATATTAGTGTACAGGGATGGCACGTCTAGGGTTACCAGTTTGACGGTCGGAGATATCTTCCTGAGTGTATAGAGCTTCCCAGGTCCTTTTTTTTTTCATGTAGGAAGGTAGTCGTTGCACCATAGTCGTTGCACCATAGTCTATTACACCAAACATTTGTCATTCAAGCAACTTTGAAAAAGATATACTTAATCAAATTTATTGTTAAGCAAATGTTTTTTTTTTTTTAAATTCAGTGGCGACATAATAGGGATAAACAACAGCACTTTATCAAAGTCAAAGACTTAAAAAAACTTACCCATCACCCAAGTTTTAAATTAGCTACATATTTGCCCCTTTTTGTCTTTTTGACCAACGTCAAAAATCAGCGATGTCGTCAATAAGAATTACTTCCTGTAACATTACCTAACAATAAGAAACAAGCAAAACCTGCAGGCATAGATAGATGACTTTTACCCTCAGATGATCGTCAAGATCATAACCTCCAATAAACTGATGACCTGAAGACAGCCAAATGCTTTCTTGAATTTAAAAGCCCAGATTGTCTATCATATATGGCAAATAGATTAGATATGTTTGGACGGCATAAAAAGACATTAATTTATGAGTGTGGTATTTTAAAGGGTAACATGTATCTTGATATTTAGCCACCTTTAATATTCTTTCATGAGCACTTTTTATTTACGAGGTTATATTGTTAATTCATAACGATCATACTTAAAATATGTTCTGAATTTAACATATAAAACATAGCTGTATCTAAATTTTTAAAATAACCAATTAGTAATAGATAGACCATGGGCTTGGGCTCGTTTATTGGGACATAGTGTTGCCCCGGCCACAAGAGGACCGCCTGACGATAGAGGCGACAGCCGAGGGATTCAAGCAGACCAGAACACAATTTTACCCACCCACACGGGGGCTGCCTGAATCCCTCGGCTGTCGCCCCTATCGCCCGTGCTCTATCTTACCTAGAACATGGCCATGCACCCGAAGTTTTCTTTTAACCCTATTCATACCGTTTTTTTTTT